TTATTATACTTATAGACATTTTACCATATGATACAATAGGATAATGTGATAAAATACAATATGATGTGATACAATAGAAGAAGAGAGAAGAAGAAGAAGCTTTATTGTCACTGTACAGGAATACAACGATATTTTGTTTGGCAGCATCTCTCTTTTTTAAGCAACAACATGGTACATTTATTAAAATGTGTTTAAACAGAAGAGGAAAAAAGTAGAAAAATAGTAGTAAAAAAGTAACCTAAGAAAAGTGCAGTCTAAAAATGTTATATATATGTGTAAATATGATATATAAATAGTATATACAAATAAACAGCAAGCTGTGCAGAAGTCAGTTTACATACAATACATGATGCAAAACTATTTGATACATTATGATGCGATACGAAGGATTAGATTATATATGATACGATACAATACAACATGATACCATACCATAGGTTATAATATGATACAATGCAATACCGTGGGACACTTTACCACATGATCCTATACATTATCATTTAAGACTATACAGCTCCTTAAAGAGAAGTTTGTCTCGGTCTGCAGCGCTGCTCAAATTCAGTTGTCTACTAGAAAGATGTCATGACGAATTGAGGTTCTGAAAAAGAAAGAAATTTAACTAAAAAATAAAGACATTTACACTTTTTCTGATTCAAGTAGAACAAAGAAAACTCTACGAGGTTATTGGTGTATGTAAGTGTTAACAGAGATTTTCAAAACAATTCAGTAAAAACATTTTTGGACAAAATCTAATCCCTCTAAGAGCCTAATGTAGAGGAAAGTTGTTTATTTAATTTTAGTGATGTGATTGTAAATGGATTATTTGCAGGTTTTGGATTCTTTAGAGACAAAGACATCCTTGACAAGCGTCATTCGACTCTGAAAACGTTTCAATTTTTACAGTTTTTGTTACAGAATTTAACAATAAATTACGACTAATGTTCTTAATCAGACATAAAAACAAACTCTGGAGTGTTTTTTATAAGAAGAAAAATCAGTTCAATGTTTTACTTTGGCTCTCCTCCTCTTAGTCCATGTTCCTGAAATTGATCCCTGACAATCACACCCCTCAGCACCACTATGGAGAGTACTTCAGGTATATCTGCAAACCTCATTTCACCTGTTCTCCGATCATTTTTCACCTCATAAGCCAGAAACAGCAGTAAACCTTTTCCTTGATAAAGGCGTGAAGTTGGGTAGATGGAGAAGTTCAGCCGGGTGGTAGTAAACTTTACTATCACCGTTGGGCTGAGAGGCCCATTGAAGTGTGTGGCAGAGGAAGAGCAGTTCGTGGCATCTCTGCTCCATCTCGCCTTTGCTCCCTCAGACTTTGGTGAACTCGGGGGCCTTGATTTGATTTGTGCAGCCTTGAATCATAAGCTTTAATTGCACCTGACATTTAAAGCTTCTCTCTGGTATTTAAAGCAGTGTACAGGTGTGGCTCATTACTGAGAGGGGGGGGATTGGAGATTTTCTGATTTCTCTCTCATTGCCGGGCCGTGGCAGTGTCTTAACTCATCATACTGCCTGTCACTATCCCAGAACCTCTCCTTCACTCACACAAAGCTGTATCTGACCCAGCTATCATCAGTCAAACCAGAGTTCAAGCCTATCATAAAACAGAGTCTTTTTTAATGCTGCAAACACTGTCACAGAGAGCGATGCTGCAGACACTATCACAGGGAACAAAGAGTGTAACTCTGTGATCCACGACACATTTTACCAGCCCTGCTGAAGCCACATTTTTCCTCTTGCATGCTCTTCAGAGACTCACTGTAGCAAAGGTTTATTATGATGCTCAAAGCTTTGCAGTGTATATAGTGTTCCGTACAGATTACAATGCTCCAGGAAAGTGTATAAATTACTTTGGGCAACGTTAAAAATTATAGCACTTATCACAGCTGGAGACGCTTGGAGCAGCAATCTGCCAGCAAATTGTAGAACTCTAAATCTGTCCTGTTATCTGTCAGGAGTGATTGCAAAACTTGTTTTTTTTTTCTTGTCTCATACAAACAACAAGTGTGAGGGCTGCAGCGTTAGTGAATCTGCAGCTGCATTTGAAGACTTCTTTGTTGCCATTAATCCAAACACATGTTACCTATTTTATAAAATTTAGGTGATATTTTAAGTAAGAAGTTTCAAAGCTGTCTAGATCAGAAGCTGCTTGACACAAGGCATAAAGAAAATTCAACACACGTTATTCATTATTTATCTGTATTTCCAGATATCTTCTGCGTAAACATCCCGTCTCCCATACAGCTGTGTAATAGCTGTCTATGCAAGCGTAAACAAATTACAAACAGCATTTTTAAAGCAGCAAATAGCCAGTAGGCATTGCGTTCCAACCGGTCCCAGGACCCATCTTTCTGCAGGCTATATGTGCCTCGTGTTGGCATCAGAAAAACAAAGCATATGTTGATTGTTAGCCAGGGTGTACATAGCATGTCCTGTTCACTCAGGGTCTCCCTTGTAGCTGCAAACTCCCAACTTTGTTTCTCTAGGCTATCTGTCAGACTTCATTTAGCATTTGAGGACATGTGGATTCCCATGTACTGCAAAAAGGCAACGTACTTCTGCGGGAATACAGCCACTATCTGAGCAGTGATCTGTCAACCCTATTCATTTAGCAGAAGTAAGTAGGAGAGGGGGGTATTTTACATGAGCTATTTTTATTTGCGCAGATTCAAAGGCAGATTTTTTGTGCTTTTAAAAACAGCCAGATCTGAAATGTAAATATGAAGAAAGAGTTTGAAGATTTTAGTGAAATTTTCAAACAAATCAGACAAAGGAAAAGAAAAATTAAAGCCACTTGCATGTTTTTAATTCTTCCTCAAGCTGTCTTTTCCACCCCTTTTCCCATATGCGACCGGGTACATTATGGCAGTGACATTTTCTGTCCTGACCTTCTTTACTTGGGATCGGGCTTTGACTGCTCGGGTTCATCTCCTCAGGATTTTTCAAGCCATCATGGTCAGATAGTATTAGCATGTAGACATACTTTAGCCTGAAAGAAACATTCTTGGTAAACATAAAATTAAGGAAGAGATTACAAAACAAATCATTAGACTCAGAGCATTGTGGAAAAAACCCATGAAGGTAATTATTAACACAAACTTTTAGACATTTTAGGGTAACATCGCCTCTTATTGCGTACTCATACACCATTAACTGCGTGTTTCTTCTTTCTAGATAAGTAATTGACAAAAGCACCTGGGATAATAACTTCATCTTCCACAATACCTGTAACAATTTAATCGAACAAGTCAGCCCAGCCAAGCATCTCTGGCTCTATGACTGCAAGACATGAAATTCATTGTCACTATTGTCTCTGTCATTTTGCAGCATTTTGTCCGGCTGCAGAGTTTTCCTCTCACTCCACTGAGTTTTGTACCTCCAGGAGGCTGGAGCGGGTGGTGGTGGTGCGAGCGGAGCGGAGTGGAGCTAGGGGAGGGATGTTGGAGGAGGAAATAAGGCGGGAGGGGTGTGTTTGTGTTTGTGTGTGTGTGTGTGTGTGTGTGTGTGTGTGTGTGTGTGTGTGTGTGTGTGTGAGGTAAGGGGAGGGGGGGATGCTTCTGTTCCTCCAGGGAGCTTTGATGCTCATTTAGCTCTGCTCTGTCATTCGTCCATTTTGCCTTTTAATTGCTGATGATAATTATCATCATCATTATTGTTATCTTCATCAGTGTGTCAGGCTGTTATAGCCGCGCTACGCTCTTCATTCATAAATCCTGCTACCGGGATCTGACTAATCCTTGAATTCCTGACATTTAATGTAGTATTAATGCTCCTGTTCTTCGCCTGGTGCCAATCTGTGACAGGCTCACAACAGAGAGCTGTGAATCACAGGGTCAAAGGTCATCAGGAGGCTCAGCAATCACTAAGGATCAGACGCTGCCTACCGGTGCCGAGCCCCTCTGAAGCCTGCTATGCTTCTATGTGTGTGTATGTGTGCGTCTGAGCGTGTGCATGTGTGTATATGTGCACACACGCCACTGGTGGCATAAGTTTGCTAACCACATCCTATAATGGTCACATTCAGCACACAGAGATGAAGAAGTGGGTTCCTTGGTCTTCCTAATACATCATGGCAGGGTGTATACTCTTGTATGTAATTCATTCTAAAATGTGGCCTTTAAATCTGTTGTTTTCTTATTTTTCTTTTTTTTTTTACTTTTTGCTTTCAGTTTATTTATTTTATTCCTGTAGTGGGGGAATGGCTTCCAGCATGCCGTAGCATTAAGCAGAGCCTACCGGCTAGCTAGCCTCAAGTCGCTCAAACGTAAAATAAATCAGGGCACAAAGGACCCTGCTCGTTCCTGCAAAGTAGCAACATTTTCCCCGGCCAACAATGAGGACTTGAACTTCCCTGGCAATAACAAATAGAAAGAAAGTCACTCGAGACACCAACATTAAAAGTGATTAATCATCTCTATTCTCTCTTTACTTTTGAACCAAGGGATCGTCCAGCAATAAATCTTCAAAGATGTACATAAGAATCACTTCCTAATGAAACCAGGCTTTGTTCATTTGTCACCTTTTAGACCCCTTTCATTTAAATTACAAAACTTGTGACCTTGTGACTCTGAATATAGATCTCTGGTATTTTAGAGCTGAAGAGGGATTAATCCATAAATCTTGATATTAGATTTCTCTGTTCATTAAAAGGATTCTGCCGAGGGATCCTCGGTTTGAAAAGCAGATCAGCTGCTGTCAAGAGCTGTTTACCGTCATATTGACATATTGAAAAAGTGATTATCAGGAGGGGAAGGGATTGTTTCCGGAGATTAGTTTTCCTTTACAGGTGGAGGATGCCTCTTGGTTTTGTGAAAATGTTTGAGGAAGGTGTCAGTTTGTGATGATTTATTCCTCTTTAAAGGAATAGCAGCAAAGAAAACACCATCAGTCTGCTGTCACGTGTTGACATCAGGCTAAAAAAATCACTGTCAAACAGCAGGTTCGTCAGCTCATGTCTCTGTATTCCGGGTATCTTTTAGGCTGTGATGCGTCTGCTCCATATCCCTGCATTCCCTGCCGTTTCCCGGGTAGCAGTTCCTCTTCCTGGTACAGGAGAGAGAGAGGGAAGAAAGAGGAGGGGAGGAGGGCCAAAGGGCCGCTGTGGCTTTAAGTGTGCTCCTTGTGTGGCCAGAGCAGCCATCGCGCTGATGCAAAGTGACAGGGACAGATGTGACATATCGGTTCCGACACACTTCCATACCACCAGTCACAGGCTCGGGGTGACTCACATCCCCCTGCTCTGGTCCTGTCCCCCCGCTGCAGGACAACACAACGATGCTCGAATGAACCTCGCCATCGCCCTCACTGCTGCCAGGTATGGGGCTGCCATAGCCAATTACACTGAAGTGGTGCACCTACTGAAGAGGGCAGACCCTCAGACGGGGAAAGGAGAGGGTCTGCGGAGCGCACTGCAGGGATGTGATCACAGGTAAATCCAACAAAAGCCGCTTCCTGACTCGCTCTATCCCCCCTCTCTCTCTCCTTCTCTCTCTCTCTCACAACAGGAGCCCTTCCAGCACTTCTTACTCAGTGGTAGTTTGCACATAGTCATTGCACATCTAATGCAGCGGCTTTTAATATTTTATAAGCATTTTATGGTGTAGAAGGCTGCTTCAGATCTTGTAGGGAGGAACATAAGACGGAATTAGCGTACTCCAAATGGCCTTACTTACCTTTTAAATGTCATGCATCGGGCCGGCTTTGGAAGAATAAAGCAGTTAAGGGTAAGAGATGGTATTCTGAAACATTTCATGAATAACCAAGATTTGAGGATCTCAACACATGACCACCCCCTGATGTTTTAAAAGATGGAATTGTGCTCTTGGAGGAGATGTCTCACTTTAATAATGTGAGAGGAGGGCCTCGCATAGGGAGGGCTTAGACTGAAAGGATAATAGAAACACTTTTATCATCACTCCTTTTTTTTTCTTTGTCTTTTTCTCCTGCAAATAGAAGAATTTCAGTCCTACCATCACACTTCTCCTCTTGGTCTCTTAACGGTGGAACCATCACATGTCACAGGAGAAAGGCTAGCCCGTCATTCATCCTGTTGTCAAAACAGATCATTCGCCACCCCCATGGTATCTTTTGATATGCGTCCTATTATATATATAAATATATATATATTTATATACTAAAGCTCGTCCACATCAAGCGTCATATTAACAAACATTTCTCCCTTCCACAATTTCTAAAGGCTCCCTCAGTCACTGCCACTGAGCTCCTCTGTGACACAAAGAGGCAAGAGGGAAATTAGGTATGTCTGTTTCCTATTAATTACAATCCTGGGAAGTCTCCCATGGACACACTCGAGCCACTCTATTACGGCAAGAGGGGGGCGTTCGCTGATAAATTAATAATCCGGCTTGTCACCAGCCACAGATGAATAGCCCCTGGTGATTGATGCTGTTTTCTTTCATAGGGCAGGAATTTGATGTCAGAGCCAAATGTGTTATCAATGCCACGGGACCTTTTACAGACACGCGGCGGAAAATGGATGATCAGAAGAACCCCCAACATCTGTCAGCCTGGTGCTGGGGTGCACATCGTCATGCCGGGGCTATTACAGGTAACTAACGGTGGGCCCCTACGTCTCTGTCACTGTCCCCCTGTATCACCTGCTCCTTAGCGCTGCCATCTCATCAGTTCATTAGCAAGAGCTGGTAGAGACTCCTCGAACTCAACAACCAGACTGTCTGAAGGTGGGAGAAGCTCGGCGAGAAGAAGAGAGCATCACTCTGTAAAAGAAGCTTTACATGTGCTGCATCTCCTGAGTGTCATTCCAGCCTGATCAAACATCATTTCCTCCCGTGGCAGCCGCAGCTCAGCTCTGATTGGATTCCTCGGCCTGAGCTGGGATTTCTGCTTTCTTGTTGATGCATGTTATTTGTGTTTGCAAGGGAGGCAAGGCTACTCCTGTGACCCAGCCTTCCCCCTCAGCTATGCCTGTGTTAAATTGAGTCAGCGCCACGTGCATGTGTTTTAAACAGGACAATATGTGCAGCGCCTGGTTGAGGCTTTGGGAGCAGCGGCTGGAATTGAAACCAGCTGAATTAATCTCCTGGAAACAGCGCTGACAGGAGCCTGATTATGGGGTGTCCCTTCAACCAGCCCTGGCCCCGCTTGTGCCCTCCCCTCCCTAGCAGACCAAAGGTTAATGCAGTCTTCTTGTTTGTTCCCCTCCCTAGACCCCTACTTCCTCTCTCATGCACATGACGCACACGCACCTCCAAGTCCTGATGACATGGAGCTCCTGGATCCTGTCACGTCATCCACTAGTGGGAAGGGATGCCCAGTCGCACCTACTGGCAGCTATTCCGCTCTCTCAGCCAGATTATCAAAGATAGCTATCTCAACAGCTGTTACACAAAGCAATGCCCTCCTTCTATCTTTATTTATTTCTATGACAAAATTTTCTCTTAATCGTCACAGTTTGCTTCGGCAAAAAAAAAACTCCAAAACCAAATCAATGATCACATAATATAAATTAATTTTGCCATTTTCTTTGACAAATTTTTACAAAAACATCAAGTTGTCCTTTAACTCTGCATTCCCTCTCAATAATCAAGCGCAGTGTTGGTAAATGCAAAGAAAAGCTGTTATGCGAGGGTATAACTCGCACGACAACGTCAACATAACATTTCTCCCAGAAAAAAAATGAGTCATCACTCTGCACTTACACTTGCGGCACTGTAGCCTGGACGTTTGAATCAAACCTAATTCATAACAGCCATTTATGATAATAAATACACGTCCAACAATCTCAACAACACCCCCCTCCACCCCTCCACCCACCCACCCACACACCCTCTCTGATTTACAAATAGCTGATAGAGCAAGCAGCTGACAGAAATAAATGAGCTAATCTGATGGCTGTGTAGGACTTCCACCAGATATTAATTCATCAGGAGGCCACAGAGTGCAGACAGATACAAATTCCAGCTTTAATTATGTATGGGTGCTGTGCTGGAAACAGGAGACACCTCCACTCGCAGGACTATTTCTCAAAGCAACTTTATGAACCCCCTTTTGATTCCATCGTTATTTTGTTTTCCTTTAGATATAATACATGTCCCTCCTGTTTTCCCAGAACGCCCTGGACAGAATAGATTTTTCCCCCTTCATAGCCATGCTTTCACATGAGACATTTGATAATGAACAAGTGGAAAAATAACCTTTGCCACATTAAATTATATTGTTTTCGATTTGCAATTTTTATGAGGCCTTCCTGGAGCCCATTTGATGTATTTTGTTCCCACTCGGAGCCTCAAATGGCCCTTGCCGACTGGCAGGCTTATCAAAACCCATGGAGGCTTTATTGAATGAGTGACCAGTGGGTATCTAAACAGAATGCAGGGCTATTGATTTTAGAGAAGTGGTCTAATTGTTTCTAGTAGACAAGGGCTTGTCCCGATTATTTGATTGATTAGCTTGATACTGGTCTGCCTCCTCATCCTCCTCCCCCGGCCAGTTAATAGCACTGTAATCCCAATACACTGCTGTATTTCTAATCCATCATCATTATCATGGCTGTGCTCAGCACAAGATTAGTCCATGAGGGTTTTTTTTTTTTTTTTTTTTTTGCATTCCTCAATATTAGGTCTGCCTTCGATATGCTAAAGGAAAGAAATGGAGGAGAGTCGGCTCATACCATCCATCTGCGCTCCTGTGAGAGGCAGAGGAGATATTGTGACACAGTTATTGACGTGTAATGATCTACTTATTGCACCACATTGACTAACACGATTAAAACTTTTTCAATTATGATAAAAAACAATGCATCAACTTGACAATTAAATTACATGTTCATTATTTGCAATATTTTTTTTATTACCCCTGCAAAAAAGCTGTGTGTGACTGAAGCCTCATGTCACTACACAGGCATTTATGAACAAACTTACCAATTTCCTCCATAAACAGTCGTGAAAGAAAATGCAGAATGGTTATCTTTAATTTGCAAAATAATGAATAAAAATTATACAGGCACTGAGATCGTAAAAGTGTTTGGGGATTGGTATGATATATTGTTCTGGTGGCCAATTCACCACTTTGGTCCGACAAATGTGCGGCGTTTTGAAGAGGTCATGAATTAGCAGTGTGTTGGGTACAAGTATCACATATGTATATGACCCAGCGATAGGATTTTTTGCTTACAAGAGTTTACTAAATTCAACAAATATAATGATTTTTACATTTGCCTTAAGGCTTTTATATCTGAAGAATTGTTGGATAGATTATAACCATAGATTCTATATTGAATGGACGCCATCTGCCTCCTTGCTGGATGAAGCCACCTTGATAACAGCACCCTCTGTTGAAGGGCAGCAGTATAGGTCATAAATCCCGCCTCTTCCAGCAATCCCTATGGAGCTGTGGACAAACTTTAGGGAATTTATTACACAGAATATAAATTGTTCTCCTTCCTGCTTGCGATGTTGACATGTAGTTACTGTCAGACTGGTTTGTGCCCGTGTCCTCTTTTTCTGTGCAGCTCCATTTTTAAAAGTTATTAGGGGGTTCATGTTTTCTATGATTGACACTTGATACAGCCTATGGGCGTACGAAGATTGTGTAGCTCACCTGGGGGATACGCTGTTTGAGCCGAGTGTCATCACAGCAACTCTCCCGCTGAATGCGTAAAACACTACTTCGCAAGTGGTGAAATGTGTACAACGCAACTGACTGATTATAACAGAAATTCCTTTGCCTCTTTTTGACTTTGTATCCTGATAACTTGGTTCCTTGACTTTTCCTCTTGTGCCAACAAGGGGTCAGTATGATTGAAACTGTTTGATAGGTTTTCAGTGAATAATTCAGTACCCTGCAAATCAAAGTTTCTGTCGACAATAATAAAAGTTGAGATTAGGTTTAAATAAATCACCAATGAGCATTCCAAATCTTAAGTCCAAAATCCAAATTTAATGAAACATACGCTGGCTTCACATCTTAAATGGATGAAAATTGATTGAGTTACAAGGTATAACCATCCACCACACCAGGCTTTTAACAGCTAGTGTCTGCTGATGCTAGCTCCTCCTGACCATCTCTTCGATCCAGTGTGAGACCAATTTTCCCTGAGTGATGAAGACAAATTTTTAACTAAACTGGAATACCTTAACCAAAGGAGGAAATCAACACACACTCTTAAAAACTTTATCTTCTGAAGCTTAGAGCAAATATGTGGTGTGTCGGGTTTTAAAGAAATTTGCCTGCCATACACAAGGCAGGTGAAGATCACCAATAATGTGGGCCAAATGAAATCACTTCTCACTAGGGCTTTTTTTATTAAAGAAACTAACATCATCCTGCTAATACGAAGGTTTATGAGTTTTATTTTGACACAAATTGCAGAGGTTTGACTAAAGCAAAGATTGATCTCTTTGTTTGTGACTTTCCAAATTTATATTCAGACTCAGGCTCATCCCTGACTTCCATTACCATCAACTTTTCTAACATCCCAAACCAATCAATGTAACAACATGCATTAACTCATACATTATAAATGAACTTATGCAAGTCAACATTAATAATAAACTGTTGAGTTGAGTATATGTTAGCCTTTATTTGAAAGCACAGTAACGCCTCACAGGTTTCTAACACAGCTGAGACCGCTTGAGTAAACTACCTACAAGTACACAAAAAACAGAGTTAGCTGCAGATGAGCTGGAGAAGATGCATCAGAGAAATAAATAAAATCTAATAAGAATAATAATAAACATTCGATGACCTTTCTTTGATACTTAAATGAGTTTGTGCTATTAAGAGGTATATGTCCTGATTGAACAGAGAATTTTCATGCAGTAAAACTGAAGACATAAAACAAAGAGTATCTTTGAAACCTGACATAACACCCTGTTTGTATTGTCATTGAAATTTTGACTTTGGTATTTGAATATGTTTAGATGCTTTTACTGTGACCTGTGTTCACCTCCCATCATAAATCCCAAAGACTAAGACAGAGAAATACTCCTTGGCCAGGCATCACAGAGGTTCTCCGGTTTGAGCCTCAGACCACATCCAGCTTCAGGCAGAGTGGCCGTGGACAGCTTGGTGACGTGTGGCGTATGTCTGGGCGAGACCCTGGTAAAAGTCCTGTAGACACAAAATGAGCAGAGAGAGCCTGAAGCTTTAGAAGGACTTACAAAAGCAAGAGATGGAGGCCAGCAGTCGGGGATATAAGTGTGAAGTGATGGAGCGAGAAGCCATGAGTGGCGTGTCCACACTGTCTCTGTCCTTGCCTGTGGTTGTGCCCAGACCAGGGTCTTCACTCATTTATCTAAGAGTGTGAAAGAAAGAGGATGGGGGAGTGTGAAGAAGGGTCACACCAGAGGGGTTTGTCACATTGTGTGGAGGTGACACCTCAGAGGACCTACTGGCCTCCACAGTGGACAGCCAGAGTCTCTTTCCAGTCCTCCCCTGAAGGGAGGATGGTCACCATGGCTTCTCACAGTCACACCAGAGTCTCTGAGTGTCTAGCAGCAGATCTCAACTGTACTGTACTCACTTTGACTCAACTGGACTCTCACTGACTGGACTGAAGACTGTCTTTGTTCAGCCTGAAGTGGACTCTCTTTTCTGTTTTGGTGGTGAAATCTTTCCACAGTACAGAACAGTTCCCATTCCCCAACCATGAGTCAGCCGAACAAAGGAGGCATCAGTGCCGCTCACTCTGCTTCTGGATTAAAAAATGAGAAACTTTTTTGTTCATTGCAATCCAGCTTTAAAGCCCTTACATTCACATGAATGCCTCCCCTTTGTTTGACATTCTTATTTACTCTAAATGTTCACTCGTTTTTTTAATGTCTTCATTCACTTTACCTGCACACTGTACTGGCTTGAAAGCACTCAGGATAAGTATCAGTCGAACCTTTTCCCCAATCAGAATAATCAATTGGACTGTTAAATCTGGTGTGCCAGGTCCTCTAAGGTTAATACAGCTCAAGAGACTTTGTTTATCATGCATAACTCTCCTTCTGAACAACTACAAATGGGTATTGTCTTCATCTGCGTGTTTTTATTACCCATGTGAGGCCTTCTGCTCCACAGCTACTCCTCTGTCATGAATGTTTAAAAAATGCCCTTTGATAACGAGTTTGTCATTGTTTTATTCAGAAATATCAACCAGCCCATTACGGTGGCAGGTATTTTTTCAATCGATACACAATAGGGTATTAATATTTAATTCTTTATATGTCAGCAAGATAGAAGAAAAAATGGATTGTTACAAAGCAGCAGCTGGAGCTCCTTTATTTTCCTGCTGTGGTCGTGACAGAGAGAACAGACATTCACTTCAGGGTTTTACAGGCAAACACACATTGCATTTTTCTGCAGGATGTGAGTGTCTTCAAATCATAGATGTCCGCATGCCTTTGTTCGAGACAGAAGAGGAGATTTCTTTTCCCCTGAAGTGTGTTTTGTCCCCTAGTAATAAAGCCTAACTCCAAGGACACTCTGTCAGTCTGCAGGAAGACTAACATTGACATTAATGGCATTAAACTTGTGGCCCTAGCAGTTCCCACCACCTTACTTTTTAACATTTTTTCAACCACTTTTGTTGCGTGGAACAAAGAATAAATCCATCTGCATCCTCTCACAAGTGAAGAGTAAAAGTTAGTGAGTAAAAGTCACATGATATTTTTTATCTTATAACCTTTATACAGACAAGTTTGGTCTGCTGAGGTCAGGGATCCCAGAAAATAACATTACACTAACAAATAATGTCCTTATATCATTAAGTCAGACGGCTGCGTTAGATTGATTTCAGACCCTGATGTTAGTCTTATATCATATCCTGATATTAAGTTGGCATGGCATCTTGACTTCGAAAAACCAAGATTTTGATCATGAATTGACGTCAGATCCAGCATCTGAAAAAAGATTTTTGATCTAAATGTAGGGCTGATTATAAATTGTCATTAATGCCAGCCAAACATCATTAACTGTCATCATCCCAATGCCAGATTTAATGTCAGTTCTTAATGTTGGGCCGACATCAGGACCTGACGTTAAAGTGACACCAGGACCTTCGAGTCCCTTAGGCCCGTCATATCCCAACATTGAATTGACTTAAGATCTGCTATGTTGACGTGAAATCTCGCAATTTAACATTCTTTAATATAATGACATTGAATTGACATCAAATCCAAGTCTGGAGTTGGGTTTACCCTGATCCTG